TGTTTTGCACATGTTAAGTGTGAGATGTTCATTGTACATCTGTATGAGTGTGTCAGATAAACAGTCGGGTAAAAGGCCAGAGTTCAGGAAAGGAGCAGGCGTGGAGGTGAATTTGGAAGTCCTTGTGATATAGATGGTAATTACAGCCACAGTACTGGATGCTGAATGAAATAAAGAGATAAGAGGGATTCCAGGACAGACCTGTGGGTCAGCCCATTTGCTTGGACCTTCTGTTATTCTGGGTTACCTATAATCACTAGCTAAGTTTCTCGACATTATTTCTTTTGGATCTTTATGCGTATATTTACCTTTCACCTGATAAAAAACCTGCAGAAGGTTTGCATGGCACCTCAGCATCTCCTGTAATTTCAGGGCTCTTTATGACCTGGCCTTCCATAATCTAACCCTTTTCCATCTTAGCCAATCATCCTGACATCCTCTGTGGATACACTTACTTGTGTCTGAGCCTGTTATGTGTCTTTCATCTTTTTCTGTTGTCTTAGAGTTGAATTTAGATTCCATTTTCCTCATGAAACATTTGACTTCTTCAGTCCAAACAGATCACTCACATCTCTAAACTATTACTGTAGTTACAGTCTTACATTTAAATACTTACTATTTTTTATTTTCACAGATTATACTAAACATGCTTTCTTTTCAATCCAAAAGAAAAGTTATTTGAATTAAGTATACACGTGGCTTACAATCATACATAGAAAAGTTCAATATCACTGATCATTAGAGAAATACAAATCAAAATAACAATGAAAAACTATATCTAAATGAACTAAGCATCCTTTAAAAAGGCAGAAATGGTTGGAATAGGTTAAAAACAACAAAACTACATGCTGCTTTTAAGAAATGAACTTTAAACATAAATTCACATACTATAGACAAACATGTTTTAAAAAGGTACGGCATGCTCACCTTAAAAGAAAGCTGGAGTGGCTATATTAATAACAGGCAAAGTAGATTTCAGAGCAAAGAATATTGCTAGAGGTAAAGAAAGAAAAATGATATAATCATCTCAATCGATGCAGAAAGGCATTTGACAAAATTTAACATCAATTCCTGCAAACAGTATTAGAAAGCACCTTCCTGAATCCAATCAAGGACATATAAAAATAAAAGCTACAGTTAACAGCAACTGACATTATTCTTAATAGTCAAAGAATGAATGCATTCCCCCGTGGTTAAAAAAAAAATGGATGCCTCTGTTCTATTCAATAGTATTGGAGTTTCTAGCCAATGCAATAAGGAAAGCAGAAGAAATAAAACACATGGAGAATGGCAGGAAGAATTAAAACTGCCTTTATTTGCAGATTATGTGATTGTCTACATAGAAAATCCCATGGAATTTACAGACAGGCTGCCTGGCTTAGTGTTAAAGGCGTGCCCAACACATACCCAGAGGCCCTTGGCAAAAACTGAGAGACTTTGCTTCCCAGTGTTTAGGGAAATCTCTCCAATAGTTTGCTGACCACTAAGTGAACTGATCCAGGACTTCAGTACAACAAAAAATACAGACTTTACAGATTTAGTTCAGAAATGTTACTAAGACGATGCTAAATAATCACAATAACAAAACCTGGGGCAGGTGGGCAAATCTGATTTCCAGAGTTGCCATGTAATTTAAAGTGTCCAGTTCCCAACAAAACTATATTAAGAAGCATGCAAGTGAATAAGAATATATGGTCCAAAAGGGGAAAAGCAGTTAGTAGAGAATTGTTCTTGAGGAAACCCAGACATTGGACTGACTACACAAAGACCAAGTTGGCTATTTTAAATCAGTTATTTCAAAGAGCTAAAGGAAACCATATCAGAAGAAATATAGGAAAGTATGAGTGCAGTGTCTCACAAAATAGTAAATATTGGATCAGGAAAAATAATCAGTACTAGACCTAATATGTGGGTGATGAAATAATCTGTACAACAACCGCCCCATGACATAAATTTACCTATGTAACAAACCTGCACATGTATCCCTGAACTTAAAGTTTAAAAAAAAAAAAAAATAGAAAAATTTTTTAAAGAACAAAATAGAAAATCTGGAGTGGACAAGCACAATAACTGAAATAAAAAATTCACTAGGTGGGCTAAATAGCAGAATTGAACAGTCAGAAAAAGAATTAGGGAACTTGAAATTAGGTCAATTGAAATTATATAATTAGAGTAACAGAAAGAAAAATATAATGATTGAAAACTTCCAAAATTTGATTTTTTAAAAACACTAAAAGCTCAACAAATTCCAGAAAAGAAAAACTCAGAAATACCTCATGATAAAAAATTCGATAGACCTAACATCATACAAAGTATGTTCTCCAAACACAATGGAATACAATTAGGAAACAATGACAGAAGAAAATTAGAGAAATTCACAAATATGTAGAAATTAACCAACATGCTACTCAAAGGACAGTAGGTCAAAAAAGAAATCACAAAGGAAATTAGGAAATACCTAGAGATGAAGAAAAAGAAAACAACAAAATCTATGGGATGCAGCTAAAGCAGTGCTCAGTGTGAAACACACAGCTGTAAGCACCTATATGAGGACTAAATCACCAAAATTTCACTACAAGAAAGTAAAAAAGAAAGACCAACTAAACTCAAAGCAAATGGAAGGAAATAGTAAAGTTTAGAGTGGAAGTAAATACATTGGAGAATGGGAAAATGTAGAGAAAATCAACAAAGTAATACTTTGTAGTTTGTAAAGATTAGGAGAATTGACAAACTTATAGTTAGACTCACCAAGAAAAGTAGAGAGAGCAAAAAAACAGAAGGAAGGGGAGACAGAGATGGAGAGAGAGAGACAAAATATTCAGTTATTACAACTGGGCATAAAAGGACATTGCTGCTGACCTTAGATAAATAAAAGGATTATGAGGAAATAAAATTAACAATTGTATTACAACAAATTAGATAACATAGATGAAATGGAAAAATTTCGAGAAACACAAACTACCAAAGTTGACTAAAGAAGTAATAGAAACTTGATTCATGTATTTTGAAAAAGTTTGGCAGTTTTTTTTTTAAAGAAATATGATCTGATCATTCCATTCTTAAGGATTTAGCCAAGAACAATATATGTTCATACAAAGATTCATATATTAATGTTCATTGCAACTTTATTTTAATAGCCAAAAAGTGAAAACAACCCAAATTTCTATCAACAATTGAATGGATGTGTTCTGTTCATACTTATTATTAAGCAATAAAAAAGGAATGAATCATTGATCAATGCTACAATATAGATGAATCTGAAAATATGCTGGATGACAGAAGACAGAAAAAAGTACACACAATGCATGATTTCATTTATATACATTTTAAAGAATGCAAAATTTCACAGAAAGCAGATCAGCGATTATCTGGAGTTAAAGAGTGGGACAGGGATGAGTGGGAAGAAGGAATTACAGAGACACACAAGGAAAGTTTTTGGGGTGATTGAAATGTTTTTATTGTCCTGATGGTTTCACAGATATATACATAGAGCAACCTATCAAACGGCACACTTTAATTATGTTCACTTTATTGTATTTATTTTGTGCTTCAATAAAGCTGTTTAAAAATGACATATGCGGCCAGGCGCGGTGGCTCACACCTGTAATTCCAACACTTTGGGAGGCTGGAGAATGTCGTGAACCCGGGAGGTGGAGCTTGCAGTGAGCCGAGATCGCACCACTGCACTCCAGACTGGGCGACAAAGCAAGACTCCGTCTCAAAAAAAAAAAAAAAAAAAGACATATGCATGATTTAATCAGTAGCTATAGAAATGCTCATTTTTAACTGACCTTTTGGAAACCATCAAATTTATGTTGAGTATGGGTGTCTGTGCCTGTTTTAAGGTTTTTCATTTCTCTCTCTCTCTTTTTTTTTTTTTAAGAGGCAGTCTTGCTCTGTCGGTCAGACTGTAGTGCAGTGGTGTGATCTTAGCTCACTGCAACTTCCGCCTCCCAGGTTTAAGGGATTCTCCTGTATCAGCCTCCCGAGTAGCTGGGATTACAGGCGCCTGCCACCACGGTGGCTAATATTTTGTATTTTTAGTGGAGATGGGGCTTCACCATGTTGGCCACGCTGGTCTCAAACTCCTGTCCTCAGGTGATCCGCCCGCCTCGGTCTCCGAAAGTGCTGGGATTACAGGTGTGAGCCACCTTGCTCAGCCTCATTTCTCTTCTTAGTAAAGCATTGTTCAAGTAAAATCTCTGTATCATAATATCCATCTATCAGACACTGTCTTCATCCTTTGAATCATGGAACTTTTATCCTCAATTGGCCTAGATTATTGTACCAATTCCTCAGCCACTTTTCCTGTGTTCCTTTGCTTTAGTTTCATATGTATTTTATTTTGGCACTAGAAATGATAAGAAAGCTAGGGCCTCCTGAGGGCAGGATTATATGAGATTTCAAATAACTTCAATAGAGATAATGATAAAGGAAACTATAGAAAATAAACAATTGATAAGAAGTAGGGGAATACTGCCACCTTTGGACTAGAGAGAATAGTTATCTTCATTTTTCTTTCATTATGCCTTTTTGTGAATCTTGAACTTAATAAAAATATTTCTCGTGGGCTGATATCATGCCTTTTTAAAATACACTTTTATTTTAAGTTCAGGGGTACATGTGGAGGCTTGTTACATGCCTATGTAACATACACACCTACGTAACGTGTCATGGGGGTTTGTTGTACAGATTATCTCACTACCCAGGTATTAAGTCTAGTGTCCGTTAGTTATTTTTTTTATTCTCTCCATGTGTTCTCATCATTTAGCTCCCACCTATAAGTGAGAACTTGCAGTGTTTCATTTTCTTTTCCTGCGTTTGTTTGCTAAGGATAATGGGAAGACAACCTAGGCAATACCATTCAGGACATGGGCACGGGCAAAGATTTCATGATGAAGATATCAAAAACAATTGCAACAAAAGCAAAAATTGACAAATGGGATCTAATTAAACCGAAGAGTTTCTGCACAGCGAAAGAAACTATCATCAGACTGAACGGGCAACATACAGAATGGGAGACAATTTTTGCAAACTATGCATCTAGTGAAGGTCTAATGTCCAGCATCTATACAGAACTTCAAACTTCCAAAAGAAAACCAAATCACCCCATTAAAAAGTAGACAAAGGACATGAACAGATACTTCTCAAAAGAAGAGATGTCTCTTTCCCATCTTACAAGATGGTGGGTGAAAAAGTTGAGAAGCCAGATACTAAAGAGAAGAAACCCGAAGCCAAGAAGGCTGATGCTGGTGGCAAGGTGAAAAAGGGTAACCTCAAGGCTAAAAAGCCCAAGAAGGGGAAGCCCCATTACAGCCGCAACCCTGTCCTTGTCAGAGAAATTGGCAGGTATTCCCGATCTGCCATGTATTCCAGAAAGGCCATGTACAAGAGGAAGTACTCAGCCGCTAAATCCAAGGTTGAAAAGAAAAAGGAGGAGGAGCTTCTTGCAACTCTTACAGAACCAGTTGGTGGTGACAAGAACGGCGGTACCCGGGTGGTTAAACTTCGCAAAATGCCTAGATATTATCCTACTGAAGATGTGCCTCGAAAGCTGTTGAGCCATGGCCAAAAAAAAACCCATCAGTCAGCACTGAGAAAACTGCAAGCCAGCATTACCCCTGGGACCATTCTGATCATCCTCACTGGACGCCACAGGGGCTAGAGGGTGGTTTTCCTGAAGCAGCTGGCTAGTGGCTTGTTACTTGTGACTGGACCTCTGGTCCTCAATTGAGTTCCTCTACGAAGAACACACCAGAAATTTGTCATTGCCACCTCAACCAAAATCGATATCAGCAATGTCAAAATCCCAAAACATCTTACTGATGCTTACTTCAAGAAGCAGCAGCTGCGGAAGCCCAGACACCAGGAAGGTGAGATCTTCGACACAGAAAAAGAGAAATAGGAGATTACAGAGCAGCACAAGATTGATCAGAAAGCTGTGGACTCACAAATTTTACCAAAAGTCAAAGCTGTTCCTCAGCTCCAGGGCTACCTGCAATCTGTGTTTGCCCTGACGAATGGAATTGATCCTCTCAAACTGGTGTTCTAAATGTCTTAAGAACCCATTAAATAGCTAACTACAAAAAAAAAAGAAGAGATGTCTTATGAATTATAAGTAAAAATTCTTTGAGGTTCTTCATTTTTTAACTTTCATTCCAAAGCTTGACAGATTTACCACTATAATATCTTGCTTTAGAATAACTTGTGTAATTGCCCATGAAATTCCCAATTTTTTAGTTAACCATATTTAAAAATCTACATAAATATGCATGTAGCAAATGACTCTTATTTAGTTATTCAGAAATTCTACAATAATTTTAAATATAACACCACCTCATGGATGTATTAATATAGGATCAGAAATATTTTTTGTGTATGTTTCATCCACAGTTGAATAAGACTCCATATATCTGAGTACTCCAGGACTTTAATATTTTAATAAGAATGTATAGACATTGCGGCCATAGGCCATGCTTCCCTTTTGTCCACAGTCACTGACATGTTTTCTTATAACTTGTGTACAACAGGTTCCCCACCTTTCCTTAAGAACTCTTATCTTTTAGGGAGGTACACAATTATTATTTACTAATTTCTACACTCTTTTTAACTGTGTTTTCGGTGTTTTGTTGTTTTTACAAGTAGTGTCATTATGTTTTAAAAATTCTAGAGAATGGGAACACCTGTGTCTCTTGCCCCTTCCTTTGATTCATTCATTTAGTCATGCAGTAAATATCTGAGTGCCACCTGAATGACAGGAGCCCTTCAGGAAATATGGTTATGAAGCTACACAGGTAAAGCCACCATCCAGATGAAGCATATTTTCTAATGAGAGACAATATACAGTAAGCAAGTAAATAATTGGAAATAATTGGATATGTGATAAAATTTTTGGTAGTAATAAGTGCAAAGGAGAAAAAGAAAGCAGAGTGAAGAGATTGGGTACGGCAGAGGGGCTTTTTTGTTTGTTTGTTTGTTTGTTTGTTTGGCTAAAGTGTTCTGGGAAGTGCTTTCTAAAGAGATACTTCAGCATAGACTAGAATTAAGTAAGTGAAGGAACCAAGGGAAAATCTAGGAGAAGAGTAAGCAATGTCAGAAGGCCAGAATAGAGGAGAGTGAGCAGCGCAAGAGGAAATGAGTATCAAAGTGCATAGACACCAGAACCCTACAAGCATTTGAATTTTGTTCCAAGTGGTATAGAAATTTTGCCATTAGATCTGAGTTCTACATTAAACGATCACAATAGCTGCTGTGTGAAGAATAGGTTGTAGGGAGGCAAGAACAGAAGTAAATAAAAACCAATTAAACTATTCTAATTATTCCAGGCAAGTGGTAATTATAGCTTGGTTAAGGATGCGAGTGTCAGAAATAGTGAAAAGTGGCAAGATTGGGAATATATATTAAAGTTACAGCAAATAGGATTTGTTCATGGCTTGGCTATGCAGGGGTATGGGAAAGTGGAAAGAATTGTAGTTTTTAAGTATTTTTGTCTCAGCAGCTAGAAGCTGACATCAGCTGAGATGGGTAGGACTAAAGGAGGAGAATGTTAGTGGAAATGGATGGCTGTAATCAAGAATTTGTTTGGGAGCATATTAGGCATAAGATTCCAATTAGAGATTTCAGTGGAAATTTTGAGTTTTGGTGGGAATTCAACAATGGAATACAGGGAAGGAAAGATAAATTTGGGGCGTGTTCTGTTCATATACATGCTATCTAACTACTGCCTGTGACCAGATGGAATCACTTATTAACATGAATGTGAATAGCAGAAAGATCATTAACAGGAACTAAAGGTTAATGTTTTCTTATGTTAGGAGGTTGGGTGAAAGAAGAAGAACAAGCCCAGCAAAGTGCCTGAGAAGGAAGGTATGAAAACTTGGAGAGTATTATATCTGCCTCCTGTTCCCCTTTCCTCTTTCCTTTAAATGAAGGATAAAGACACAGGGATGTCTTTGGCCTATGGATGTCCAGTTGCACCATCACCATTTACTGAAAAGGCTATCCTTCTTCTATTGAGTTGCTTTTGCAATTTTGCCATGTCAAGTACTGCCAACAAATTTAAGAGGAAAAGAGTTGTCCATTAGATTTCTCAAGGTGGAGGTCACTTGCGACCTTGGCAAAAATGATTTCAGATGAGTTGTGGGGATAAAAATCTTAAAGTAGATGCAAGAGAATTGAGAGATGAGTCATATAATTTTTTTCTACAAAGGGAAGTGGGGTAAAAAATTGATAACTTGGATTAATACAGAGAGGTGCATATGTATGTGTGTGTTTGTGCATGCACACCTGTGTGTTTTGGTGGAGATAGTACATACAGCATGCTTGTGAGGTGATTGGAATGGTGCAGGAAGAGAAAAAAATGAAGATGCCAGAGAAAGGGAAACTATTATAGAAACAAAGTATTTGAGCGAGTGAAAGGGGATGGGATGTAGTGAACAAGCATTATCAAAGGCCTTTAATACATTGTAGCAGCAAAGAATAGGTGTATTCTTATGTATACATGAGAATGTATACATACAAATAAATGTGGATATATATACACACACATATATATGTATATTCCTCTTAACAGACTGAGAAAAGCTGTATGATCTTATCAACAGATGCAGAAAAAGCTTTGAACAAAATTCAACACCGCTTGTAATTAAAATATCTAAAGAAACCTACTCAACTACAAATAGACGGGAACTTCCTTAACCGAATAAAGTATGTGTATGATGTCTGTGGCTAATGTTAGAATTAATGGCAAGAGACTTAAGTATTTGCCTTCTAAGATTATTAAGAAGTCAAGGCCAGGCATGGTGGCTCAAGCTTGTAATCCCAGCACTTTGGGAGACTGAGGTGGGCAGATCACGAGGTCAGGAGTTCAAGATCAGCCTGACCAATTTGTTGAAACCCTGTCTCTGCTAAAAATGCAAAAAATTAGCTGGGCGTGGTGGCAGGCACCTGTAATCCTAGCTACTCAGGAGGCTGAGGCAGGAGAATCCCTTGAACCCAGGAAGCGGAGGTTGCAGTGAGCCGAGATCATGCCACTGCACTCCAGCCTGGGCAACAGAGTGAGACTCTGTCTCAAAAAAAAAAAAAAAAGTCAAATATGTCCTCTCTAACTCCTCATACTCAACATCATACTGGAAGTCTTAGCCAGGGAAATAAGACAAGAAGAAAAATTATATAGATTGGAAAGGAAGAAACCAATTTTTATTCATAAATGAAATGATGGTCTATGTAGGAAATTGAAATGAATGTAACTTCTGGACCTAAGTGGGTAAGTATAACATACAAAAGTCAATTGTCATATGTAACAAAAAAGAGCAATAGAACAATTAAAATTTGAAATTTAATTTAGAAAACATTATTTAAAACAGTACACACACAAAGAAATGAAGTATTGAGGTATAAAGCTGAAACATTACTTTAGTGTCTGTATGTGAAATACTACAAAACACTGATGATGGAAATCAAAGAAGATCTGATTAAATGGAAATGTAGTCAATATTCATATAGTGGAGGAATCGATATTGTTAAAATGCCAATTCTTTCAAACTTGTGCTATAGATTCAACACAATCCTAATCAAAATTCAGGAAAGCTATTTTGAAGATATTGGCAAACTTATTCTAAATTTTTTTATAGAAAGGTAAAAGACCAATGCAACATTAGAGAAGAACAAAGTGATAGGACTTGCATTACCTGACATTAAATACATCACAATGTTCTATAAATCTAAAGCAATGAAGGCATCATGGTATTGGTGAAAGAACAGACATGCAGATCAATGGGACAGAATAGAAAGTCCAGAGACAGACTCACAAATATAGTCAACTGAGATATATATGTGTGTGTGTGTGTGTATATATATATACACACACATATCTATATATACACACACATATATATCTACACATATATATACACACACACATATATATATCACAAAGGCAATTCAATGAAGAGAAGACAGTCTTCTCAACAAGTGCTGCTGAAACAATTAGACATACATACGTCCTCTCCCCTAAAAAATGAACCTAGACACACATCTTATACCTTACACAAAATTAACTCAAAATGTGTTATAAATTAAATGTAAAATGCAAAGCTATACCACTTGTAGAAGAAAATGCAGGAGGAAATCTATGTGACCTTGTTGGATATTTGTACCTTGATGAAATTTTAAGTACAACCCCATGAAACAAAAAATTGACAAAAGCTTTATTAAAAGAAAAAAACCCTTTTTACTTTGTGAAATATTATGTTAAGAAGGTCAAATGGCAAGTCATAGACTGAGAATATATTTTCAAATCACAAAGGACTTGGGTTCAAAACATACAAATGACTCTTAAAATTCAACAATAAGAAATTAAGCAACCTAACTATAAAATGAGAAAAAAACGCCAGACGTGGTGGCTCATGCCTGTAATCCCAGCACTTTGGGAGGCCGAGGCGGACGGATCACGAGGTCAAGCGATTGAGACCATCCTAGCTAACACGGTGAAATCCCGTCTCTACTAAAAATACAAAAAAATAGCTAGGCATCATGGCGGGTGCCTGTAGTCCCAGCTACTTGGGAGGCTGAGGCAGGAGAATGGCGTGAACCCAGGAGGCGGAGCTTGCAGTGAGCCAAGATCACGCCACTGCACTCCAGCCTGGGAGACAGAGTGAGACTCTGCCTCAGGAAAAAAAAAAGAAAGAAAAAAACAGTTGATCTTTGACAAAGTTGCAAAAGCAGCTCAATAGAGGAAGGATAGCCTTTTCAGTAAATGGTGGTGGTGCAACTGGACATCCATAGGCCAAAAAAATTGAACCTCAGCCTGAACCTCACATTTTTACAAAAATTAACTAAAAAATTGATTATGTACTTACATGCAAAACTAAAACTACCAAACTTCAGAAAAAATAGGAAAACGACTTTGCATCTAGGGCTAAGTAAATAGCTCTGTTATTTTACACCAAAAGCATGAACCATTGAAGGGAAAATGGAGAAAATTGCAAGTTGGACTCCATCAAAATTAAAAGTGTTTGCTCTTTGAAAGACTATGAATAGAAATAAAAAGAATTACAGACCACTAAAAATATTTGCAAGCCAATATTCACAAAGGAACTCATGTATAGAATATATAACAAACTCTAAAACCACAGCAGAAAAACAAATAATCCAATTAGAAAATGTGAAAAGGACATGAAGAGATACTTCACTTAAGAGGATATTCAGATGGCAGGTAACCTATTGGGGAAAAACCCCACCCCCAATATTTATCGTGGGTTCTTTTCTATTTCCTAAGCATCTCGGCTGGTTTGAGAAATAAAGGGAAAGAGTACAAGAGAGAGAAATTTAAAGCAGGATGTCCGGGGGAGACATCACATGTTGGCAGGTTCCGTGATGTTCCCCAAGCCGTAAAACCAGCAAGTTTTTATTAGTGATTTTCAAAAGGGGAAGGAGTGTATGAATAGGGTGTGGGTCACAGAGATCACATGCTTCACAAGGTAATAAAATATCACAAGGCAAGTGGAGGCAGGGCAAGATCACAGGACCACAGCATGGGGCGAAATTAAAAGTGCTAATGAAGTTTCAGGCTCGCATTGTCATTGATAACATCTTACCAGGAGACAGGATTTGAGAGCAGACAACCTGTCTGACCAAAACTTATTAGGTGGAAATTTCCTCGTCCTAATAAGACTGGGAGCGTTACGGGAGACCGAGACTTATTTCATCCCTTTGGCTTTGACCGTAAAAGGTGGCCACCCCCACGGGGGCAGTTCATAGGCCTACCCTCAGGAGCGCATTCTCTTTCTCAGGGATGTTCCTTGCTGAGAAAAGAATTCAGCAATATTTCTCCTATTTGCCTTTGAAAGAAGAGAGATATGGTTCTGTTCCATCCGGCTCACCAGCAGTCAGTTTAAGGTTACCTCCCTTGTTCCCTGAACATCGCTGTTACCTTGTTCTTTTTTCAAGGTGCCCAGATTTCATATTGTTCAAACACACATGCTCTACAAACAATGTATGCAGTTAACGCAATCATCACAGGGTCCTGAGGTCATCCTCCTCAGCTTATGAAGATGACAGGATTAAGAGATTAAAGTAAAGACAGGCATAGGAAATCACAAGGGTATTGATTGGGGAAGTGATAAGTGTCCATGAAATCTTCACAATTTATGGTCAGAGATTGCAGTAAAGACAGGAGTAAGAAATTATAAAAGTATTAATTTGGGGAACTAATAAATGTCCAGGAAATCTTCACAATTTATGTTCTTCTGCCGTGGCTTCAGCTGGTCCCTTCGTTCGGGGTACAACAGTAACCAGGTGAAAAGATGTTCCATATCATTAACCTTTAGGTAAATGCATTAAAATGACAATAAGATATCATTACCTATCACAATAAAAAACAGTAACAATAAAATGTTGGCAAGGATGTGGAGAAACTGGATCACCCATACATTATTGATGAGTTTGGCAATTCCCTACAAAGATAAAATGTTCTATACCTTGACTGCATCAACTTAAATATCAAGTTGTGATATTGTACCATAGTTTTACAAGTGTTATCATTGGGGGAAACTCAATAAAGGCTACAGAGGATCTGTAGGAAGTTGTATTTCCTACAACTTCATGTGAATCTACAAAATTTTATCTCAAAATAAAAATTTGATTTTTAAAGTGGGCAACATATCTGAAGAGACACTTCATCAAAAAATATATACAGGCTGGGCGCGGTGGCTCACATCTGTAATCCCAGCCCTTCGGGAGGCTGAGGCAGGCGGATCATGAGGTCAGGAGATCGAGACCATTCTGGC